GTGAGGCGCTGCCGCTGCGCAAAGTTGTCCTGACCATGAAGAGCAACAAACTGGCCTGGAATCCCATGGAGGCCTTCAACTTTACCGTGGCCAACGAGGATTGCAAGTAAGCAGAGTCAATTACTAGATAGAAATTTATAACCAACAATCGCCATTTCAGTCTCTACAGCTTTGATACGCGCAAACTGCAGTCGCCTCTTAAGGTGCACTTCGATCATGTCTCGGCTGTCACGGATGTGGACTATGCGCCCACGGGCAAAGAGTTTGTCTCGGGTAGTTACGATAAGACTGTACGCCTCTATAATGCACATCTYAGCCACTCCCGTGACATTTATCACACYAAGCGAATGCAGCATGTGGTCTGCGTTGCCTGGTCACTGGACAATCGTTACATTTTCTCCGGCTCGGATGAAATGAATGTGCGCATGTGGAAGGCGAATGCGTCAGAGAAACTGGGCGTGATACGTCCCCGCGAACGGACCAACTTCAACTACCAGGAGGCACTCAAGGAGAAGTATGCAGCTCATCCACAAATCAAACGAATTGCACGTCATCGACAGGTGCCGCGTCATGTGATGAATGCACAGCGGAAGATGCGTGCGGTCAAGGAGAAGGAGCTGGTCAAGGAGGCCAATATACGCAAGCACTCGAAAAAGGGCAAAGTGCCCTTTGTCAGCGAGAAGAAGAAGCATGTCATTCGCGAAGATGTTTAATAATTGTAGATATTTTAGTTTTAACGTACAATATATAAATATACAATTCAAATTGCTACACACAATCGATAAATGCTTCTAGTGCCAGCGATAACGATACCAACATACRATTATTTAGCTCATTTCTGTTTATAAAAGGCTGCCATCTCCAGCCYTAGGTGCCAGTTGTAGAGTCAGTTGTTACGGCAGCGGCAATCCGTTTTGTTTGGTCGTTAGATTTTTGTTTCGTTTTGATTATTTCGCACATTTGTTTATAAACCTGCCCCAGCCAGTGCCTGCGCGTAGAACAAGTTTTCCTTAGAACATAACTACACAGCTGCGTGAAGCAAAATGGATGCACTTAGCGACTTATTGGCACCGCACAGTGAAACCATCGGTAAAATAGCCGGCACAATAACTACACTACAATTTCTATCCGGCATAGCGCTTTTAAATGATATACGCAAAAAGGGCAGCAGCGATATTTATCCCATTGGACCATTTCTAGGCGGTATAGTGCTGTAAGTGCTATAATTCTCAACAAACCATAAACAAAATAGTGCAATTTCACGCTCAACTGCACACAAACACATACAGAAACTAACAYTAGAACACYAATATAGATAGACAAAAAAGTAGCATTTGCAGCTGTGTGTAATTGATTAAATTTTTTGAATTGTCGCCATGACGGTGCCAAATGGGTTAGAGAACGAGTGACATATGTGAGAGGTGGGAGTAGCGTAGTTCAAGGGTAAATCGAAAGGCTGCTTATATACATATATGTAGCTCGATTGAGCGGTCAATGACAATTGACGGTTACATAAAATAAACCCTCCGTCTAATTTCCCAATTAGAATTTCTTGACATTTTGAAACAATTCTCTAGTTGGACACATTCAAATCTCTTATCGCTTTAA